ATATAAAACAACCCCCATATTGAAAGAAAGATGGTGTCACAGAGTGGCAAGAGTTAAGTCAACAATGACCTCTGCCTTGTAACAGAATGGAGGAAAGCTCTCGGAGACAGATGTAGAGACTTCCATGCAGACCTTTCTACCAAGGAAACATTTGCACTGGTCCCTGAGTAGTGATGAAAACTGGTCTCAGGGAAAGTGTGCAGATGAAGTGAGAAGAACAGCAATGCTCCGGGACCAGCCAGAAGACTAGGTTGATGTAGAGAGACCAGGTGTCTAGAAGCATCCAGTTTCCAATAAGGGATATAGACCAGCACAGAACATTATGATTCTTAGCTGCTATTCAACTGTTTGGGTTTCTACCTAAAATAACAATTGAGTACCATAAGAGTTCCTGATAATGAAGAGTCATGATCTTATTTTAAATATCACTGTACTATATGATATTATAAGGCTATGAGAACAAGGGCATGAGGGCCTACTAGGATTCTTATAGAAAGATGGTATTTGGACTGGGGATGTAGCCTATTGTTTGAGTGCTTCTTTCAGGAGACTCTAGATTCAATCCCTAGTATAACATTATACCACATATTATATAATTGTATATAATATATGTAATATGCCACACATATATACTAACTGACAAGAAAGAAAGAGTAATGACTTAATTACAGAGATGACTAAAAGTAGAGGAATTTGAGCATTAGTTTGGAATAGAATCAGAAATGTGTTGATAAATTAGATTTGGGATCTGAAAAATTAAGTGGACAGTGGTACATGACTTTTACAGTTTTGTCTTAAGTAACAGGATAGACAACATTCTTAAAAGAATGCTCTAAAACAATGTATGCAGCCTGTCTGTAATGCCAGGAGGTGATGCTATTTATCATTGGGGTCATGACTAAGACCAAAGTCAGGGTGACTTAAGCATAATAATATTGCCTCATACACTAGGTGTGGAGGGTCAGGCTGGTCATATACATAATTCATCCACGTCCTCCCCTATTCCTGGTTGTTCCATTTGACGCTGGTATCTTTCTACCTCAAAGGAACAATGAACAATGACTGTGGGCCACCCCAAGTTCAAGTCCTAGAACTGTATCTCAAAGAAAAAAAGAACTCTCTCTCTCTCTCTCTCTCTCTCTCTCTCTCTCTCTCTCTCACACACACACACACACACACACACACACACACAAACACACTCACAGGTAACAAGTGCTACACACTTTACAATGAGAATGAGAATGCTTCTAGAGTCATGCATCCATCTATATTCTGCAACCAAGGGGGAAGGACACAGTGACTCACTCACCTGGAGCCAGTGGCTCACTCTTACGTCTACAGTATGGAGCACCATGGTTTCTCTCTTCCCTGTTCACATATGTTTATTAAGAGATATATCAGTGTTCCCTCTCTTAAATCTGGGATATTCCTGTGACTTTTTTTAAGGCCAACAGGATGCCATGTGAGTGACGTGTAGTCTAAGCCTTCAGAACTCTTTCATCCTCCATTTCTGTGCTCTGAGCAGTAAACCACCATAGAAAAGAACTTGGACTTGACAGCCAATTATGAGACTACACAAGAAAAAAGCAGGAAGTCTCAGATGTTTATCTTCTTTCTTTAGGTTCAGGATGCTGGAGTGAAGCCATGTTGGATGTTCTGGGGCCAGCCTAAATCCTACAACGGCAACCTCAAAAACAGAAAAACATTCTAACTTCCAGTAGCTAAGTACTAGGTGCTGCAAACAGATTTACTTGAGTCTTGTACCCATCTGTTGTCCAATACCTGCTACCAAAGGAGACATGGTAATTATCCAAGAACTGATTGCAGAATGAAATATAAAAATGAAAATACAGAGTGCCTTAATTTAAAGCAACAAAGCTTACAAGTGTTATAAAATGTATAAATGTGTTCCATCTTTGTCCATGGTCCCCCTCCTTCTCAATTTGTAAGGATTTTAAAATTTGGTATTTCATGTGTCTTTACAGAATATTAAAATTCTAAATTATTGGCTAGGATTTTTATCCTGTCTAAACTACTTTACTCATTGTTGTGACCAAATAGCTGATAAGACACAACTTTAGCAGGGAAGGATTTGTCTTGGTTCATGGTTTCAGTGACTTCTGTCCACCCAGGCAGGGATGGGTGGCAAAGGAGAGCTGCTCATATCATGACAGTAATGGTGGGACCCAGAGAGAAAAAGACAGGGTTAAAAATTGTAATGAGGTGGTGAGTTTCTGCCTTTTCCACTTTCCATCTTCCTTTAACTTTATTCCATCTGGGCCTCAGCCTATTAGATAGTGGTGCCCACACATAAGGGTGGGTTTTATCCCCTCAATAATTGCCCACATGTCAATTGCCTCTAGGAAGGGTCTCAAAGACACACTCAGAGGAATGTTCTTAGACAACTCTCAACCCAATCAAATTGATAAGGTTATTCATCATGCCAGACAACAGCCTAGGGAGCTGGAGAACCTGGACCTGCAAATCAATGAATCAAATATAAATTAATGGTTATTACACTAAGCACTTGAGGAGTGGTGCTGGTTATTCATGCCTACCTCATGATAAATAAGAACCCTTTATATTTACCCTTTGCCCTCTTATCTCACACACAGGGTAGGTTCTATCCCCTCAATAATTGCCCACATGTCAATTATCTCTGGGAAGAGTCTCAAAGATGCACTCAGAGGAATGCTCTTAGGCAACTCTCAACCCAATCAAATTGACAAGGTTATCTATCACGCCAGACAAACAGCCTGTGACGCTAGAGAACCTAGACCAGCAGATTAACAAATAAAATATTAATCAATGGTTATTACATTAAGCACTTGAGGTGGGATACTGGTTACTCGTACCTACCTCATGGTAGATAAGAACCCTCTATATTTACTCTTTGACCTCTTATAAGAAGCACTGCCATATGCTGTTATTTGGCTCAGGCTCTGTTTACTGGGTGTGTGGGTAGAAGAGCTTTGTCATAGTTCTTGGGTCTCTGGGTCACTAGAAACTGCATCTAAGGAGTTACTTTTAAAGAACCAAGTGTCAGATATATCATCTGCGGTCCACACTTCGGGCCTCATTAGGCAAGATTTTTAACTTAAAGCCTCAGCTTGACACCAGGATTGGGTGAGATTTTCCGGGTCTGGGCAGAGGAAACTAGGGACACTTTGCTTATGCATACATAAGGAATGCGAGTGTTCCTAGTCAGGGGGTAAGGTGTAGGAGACTGCCTATGGAGAGGTTTACTAATATTTCCCCCTTTCCATTGTCTATGCACAATGTTTCTCCTATTGGGAAGAGAAGCCAATGTCCTCTCTTACTGAATCGTCCTCTCTTACTGTTCAGTGTGATGCATTTGCTTATCATAATGTGGCAATAGTGACAAGGTCCCACTCTGGTGATGGGGTCAAGAGACCTTACAGCATATTTTTTTATTGTCTTCGAGGCATCCTGCACCTCCCAGCCCCAGAGACTCCTCACTGGAGTATATCCACATACCCACAGCAGAAGAGAGAAACTGGATTCAGACAGACACCAATAATGAAATGGAATAATTGTCTTAAGCTATAAACTTTTGGGATTATCTGATATCCAATCATTGATTAAGAAAATGTAACTAATGAAGGTAGAGTCTAATTGACAGCCTCAATGTAAACACATGGAATCAAGAAAGGAATGAATAAACATAAAGAAATGAAATAGAAGTGTTCATCACTACACTATCTCTTGGCTGTCCTGTGTGCTCCTGGGAAGTTCTTCCCATAAATATCAAATATTCCTTTCTTTGCAAAGGGAACGACCCTTTATATTAGCAGAATGGACCCATTTCCTACTCACAGAGTCAATGAGAAAATGCTCTGGTTCCCTCCCTCGGTTCACACCTGCATTTCCTGGCTGGACTCCTCAGTTCTTCTAGGGAGTGCTTCCCATGGTTTAGTAATTTACAGAATTCATAATGAACTCATTGTGACACACAATAGACCATAGTGAGAAGACACGGGCAAAGGACAAAGCTGAGGTGCTTCCTCCTTCGAGCGGAGAGAAAAGGAACGACTTGGGAGCACGCCTTTCCTGGGGGCAGGACCCTTGTTCTCAGTTGTCTTCCTAGGTCAGGGAGTTTCTTCCTCAGTCCACCTGGCCTGGCCATTGTGTGCGTGAAGGACTGCACATTTTCCTTGTTAACCAATTTGAAGGATACCCCGACAGACCCCCCGCTCCCCAGCCATCACTTGGCAATCTGAGTTATCTGAGGATTTGTACAACCAGGGACCAATGTCTGCCCGCGCTAGTTCTTCTTGCATACAAACCAGACACCTCAGGCATCCGTTAGTTGATTTGACTTTTAAAAACCATACTGGCCCACCAGGGTACACACACCCTTGGAGATTTGTTCTTTATTATGGTGTCTCAGAGCTCTGCCCCCTCCTGGAATCCTCAACTCCGCGATTCCCATGAGAGGCGAGGGGTGCCAGTTCAGAAGGGACCGAGGTCATCGGGCCTGCCAGCTGGCGCTAACACAGTGCGCACACAAGGAGTTTCTCCGGAAGAAGATGAATGGTCCAGTGGGAATCCAGAGAAAAGCCAGCTGTGGCTCTACACAGAGCCAGGAGCTTTGCTGACGGTGACGGTCTCTGTGTTCCTGCCTGCATTGTGGTTCATTCGTTCTCCATTCAGCTATATGCAATTGTAATAGAGCAGAGGCCTCTGTGTAACTCATGCTTATAATTTTGGTTTCTGGTTTGTTTGTTTGTTTTTTTCTGAATCAAGTTCTCACTATGTAGTTCCAACCCAGGCTGGGCTTAAACTCATAGAGATCCACCTGCCTCTGCCTCCCAAGTGCTGGAATTAAAGATGTCTGCCACCAAGCCTGACTTTAGCTTCTTTCTTCAGGCAGGCTTTTACTAAGCTAAGTGAACTAGATCCTGTAGACACCCTCTGCCCAGCTGTCTTCTCACCTCTAATCCTCTAACAGATACTTAGAAGCTGCTTTTGCTAAAAACTCATTGATTCCTCACTTGGTCTCATAAATTAACTAAACACTATGAATGCCTGGAGCTTCTGACTTGTGATTCCGGCTTAACTTCATGTAGGCCTGATTATCACTGAGGAGGGCCCTGTCTACCTTATCCTTATTCAAGGCTGAAGGAACAAAAACAAGTCATTAACTTAAACCCCAGTCACCTTGGAGTCCAGGAACAGCCAATCCTTCAGGATAGGCCGTCCACAAAATGAGAACAATTATCTATGATGAGAAGTCTATGCCCCAGAGATCATCTTGTAGGAACCAGTTTAGTCCCCTTGGGCGATGGCATCCGCATCCGTTTACAAATTAACAATTTATCCATTCACCTAGAGAGCCCAGAGCTGAGCCACTGATAGGAATGACTACATCTTTGCTGGCACTGCTTAATTACATACATCCCTTGATCTCTGTTCCAATTCATGCCCTATTTAAATCTATAGGTCATCTCACACTCCATGATGAGCCCAGGCCACTAGATCCCTTTCCTGGCCTCACTTCCCAGCACAGTGATTACACTTAGCATATTGGTGTGCATGTTCAAATCCAGCTTGTTGAGGTTGCCAGGGCTGGGGGGATTGCTCTGAAACTCCTGTTCCATCCGACTGTATTTGGAGATGAGTGGACCCTCTCCAGACTTCCGCTCCAAAGGCAACTGCTGCCTGTGGTTATTTCCAGAGCCAGGGATTTTCCTGGTGGAATCCATCTTCTCTTCTCAGAACCTGGAACAAATTCCAAAGTCAACAGTGATGTCAGCTCCCTGGGGTAGCCACAGTGAGGTCAGCACAGCCAGCCTCGCCCTTCCTCAGTGGGGCTTCCAACTTGAAAGGCCCCGATAAACGCTGTGTCTAGGAACTACTTTGTTCTTAGAAATATTTTCCCCTGTGTATTTTTTAACAGTGTATGTTTGCTGGAAATGTGGAATATAAACATTCATGAAGGGTGTTAGGTCACCAGAATCAGAGAGTATCTTTTTGGACATGTCAATAAGTTTCTGATGAGAGTGACCTGAAAACTAACCAAGTTTCTAACCAGAAAGGAGGGAGACAAGATCCTAGGCATGGGGTGAGGAGTCTTTGACCATTTCCTGGGTTTCCCCAGCTTCTCTCCATTGTTCTTTTTGTGACCAGGGCTGTCTCTCTATGCACTGAGGACGTGCTGTACTTTATTGTTCATCTCCAGCAGCAGAGAGGAGCTACCTCCAACCCAAGCCTCACAGCCTTCTGCAACGAAGGGCTCAGAAGATTCGAGTACAAAGCAGGAAGAGGGCACAGAGGCAACTTGGTGCATCAGGCTTACTTTGTGTGAGTTCCCTCAGTTTTGATGGACAGTGTATAGAATGACGATTATTCTTGGTAGTTCTTAGCCTTTAGAGACCATTACCAACCAGTGCCTTACATAGATATTATAGCTATGGGGGGGGGGGTATATTAATCCTTATGCTTCTTGTTTTCACTCTTTGGTTCAATGTTTCCCCTCAATTAAAAGGAAGTATTTTCCAGATTGATTACCAGAGGGGTGGCTGTTTAGTCAGAAAAAAGGTAACGAAGAAGAGCAAAGAGGAACTGTACCAGTCAGAGAGACAAGGAAAGCCGTGAATGAGGAACAGGGAAGGGGAAGAGGGAGCAGTGCTTACAGAAGATGCTTCAGGGTTAGGCATAAGAGAAACAGACAGACTCTGAAGGAAAGGGGACTCAAAGCAAAAGGACTGTGAGAGGCTGATGGACGTGCATTGCAAAGGGAGGTCTGTGCAGGTTTCAAGAGAAAGGAGAGAAACCTGATAACATTTGGCGGCTGTACCGATTTTCTTAAACTGACCTTACACAGTAACCTGACCACACTGGGATGCCAGTTAGACTCAATTTACAACACAATTTATGGATACTCTCTCTTTTCTGTAGAAAATGAGATCTTAAAATGTAAAATTTAATTACAATTAATTATGGTTAAGGAGAGGTCTTTTATGGCGGAGCCGTCAATATTCATTCAATTTGAGTGGTGGAGAAGAAAAAACACAATCCTGACATAATTTATTGGAAGATTTGCTTATTTATTTATTCTACTGAAAATAGATTCGTCTCTCATACATCCCAAGCACAGTTTCCCCTCCCTCTACTCCTCTGGCCCCTCCTGCTATCTCCCCTAGCTCACACCACTGCCCATCCATCTCTCTCCAGAAAAGAGCAGGTATCCAAGAGACAACAACCAAACACAACCAAACAAAATACAGTAAGACAAAATAAAGGCCCTCACAGAAGCTGGACAAGGCAACCCAACAGGAGGAAAAGAGTCCCAGAAGCAGGCAAAATAGTCAAGAAACACCCCCTGCACTGTTGGATGTCCCACAAAACAGAAAGCTAATAGCCATAACATACATACAGAGGACCTGATGCACACACATGCAAGCCCTATGCTTGCTGCATAGTCTCTGTGAGGCTATATGTACCCTGTGTAGTTGATTCAGTGGGCTGTATTCCCTTGTATTCCCCTGGTGTCCTCCACCTCCTCTGATTCCTACAGTCTTTCCTCCCCTTATTCTGTTGGGTTACTAGAGCTTCAAGGGGAGGCACCAGATGAGACCTCCTGTTTAGACTATCTCTCTCTGCATAATGTCCAACTGTGAGTCTCCATATCTGCTCCCATCTGCTGCCAGAGGAAGCCTCTCTGATTGTTGTGCTGTGGTTTCTGTCCTGCCCAGTTCCCACAATCGTTAAGTCCCAAAGAAATCACGCAGAGGCCTACATTAACTATAAACTGATTGGCCCATTAATTAGCTCAGGCTTCTTATTAACTCTTAAAACTTATATTGTCCTTTATTCTAGTATATGTTATCCACATGGCTTGGTACCTTTTTCAGCAAGGCAACCACATCTTGCTTCTTCTGTGTCTGGGCTGGGACTCTGTCCTCTTCCCAGAATTCTTCTGTTCTCATTGACCTGCCTCTACGTCCTGTCTGGTTGTCCCACCTATACTTCCTGCCTGGCTACTGGCCAATCAGTGTTTATTTAAAATGTAATTGACAGAATACAGACCACTGTCCCACACCATCTGAGGATGACTGGACAAGGCACTGATCTATGAGAATAGCAGGCCATCATTAGGAATCATTTCAGTGATTTCTTCTTTACAATTGTGTTTGGTTCTACCCTAGGTCTCTGGGTTATCCAGTCTTTTTCCTGGCCAACAAGGCAGTGTCAGGCATGGGCTCCATCTCATGGAGTGGACCTCAAGCTAAATCTGAAATTGCTTGGCCAGTTCCCCCAAGTTATGTACCTCCATTGCTCCAGAATAATGGAGGTCAAAGCAGAACAGATTGCAGGTCAAAGTAGTTGTAGCTAGGTTGATGTCCAGGTTTCTCTTTTCATAGCTTACAGAGTACCTTCTCGCACCGAAGAGACTAGAATATAGGGATGAAGGATACATGCAGGTACCTACTCAGTCTCTCTCTATGTTCAATGTGCTGTGTGAATGCTGTTCTTGGCAATGGGGACCCCCACTACAAGACATAGATTTTTGGGGGGGTTTTTTTGAGACAGGGTTTCTTTATATAACAGTTCTCTATATAGTTTGCTTTGTAGACCCAGCTGGCCTCAAACTCACAGAGACCCACTTGTCTCTACCACCTTAGTGCTGGGATTAAAAGCATCACCACAGTCCAGCAACGTAAGTGTTTAAGGTCTTCATTATAATCAAATTCTTCCCAAGTATCGTTGAAGATGAAGGATATTACTGGGAAGAACCTTATCCAATCAGACATTTTGTGAGTGATTGAGCCAGGGTTCAAATCTCGATCTGTGACTGTGGTTCTAACATTATTCCAAATACATGAAGGCAAGTGTCCTGAACCGGGATAGGAAGAGTGCTGATTCCAGGTCAGGAACTGCTATTCCTTCTGTGTACAGTTTCCTTTGTATCTCTATGGACTATGATGGTGCACATCACACATTCCATGCTGGGAGATAAACAAATGGCTGTTCATCGAATCTATGAATGAGAAAGTGAATAAGACATAGAACCCAGAGAGCAAATGGAGAAACAGACAATGTGAAGCAAAAGAAAAGAGAGGTAGAAAGAGGGAACGATGGTAGGGAGAGCTGGGCCTCAGGAGGAATCAAAGATGAGAGGGTCAGAAGAAAGGAAGAGGGGAGAAAGACACAGGCAGGGAGACATCTGAAGATGGCAAAGCAGGGGAATCAGGCAGAAAGCTTCAGGAAGCAGTGTGAAGGGAGGGAGTCGAGGAAAAGTTATATCCAATGGGAAAACAAGTGACAAGAACAGTGGTCCCTTTCTGCAGCCAGGGCAATCAGCTTAGTCTGGCTTCAGTTCTTCCGCCCAGGTTCCTGTCTGAGCTCCTGTCTAACTTCCTTCAGTGTTGGACTCCAGTGTGAAAATGTAAATACCATTTTCTTCCCAACTTGCTTTGGCCATGGTGTCTCATCACAGCAATAATAAACCTCACTAGGACCCAGGTCTTCTGTGTATTTATTAGGGCTCTGGTTTTGTATTTTTATGGGATTCCTGTGTGTGTGAAGACCTGTGTCTCTGCATCTATAAGCATTTCTTGTGCCTTTTTTTTTTTTTTGTCTTTTTTTCATCTTTGGTTGTTTTGTTCTATTCTGATTTGGGTGTTTCTGTTTTATCATATTTTACTTTTATTCCCCAAATGACTGCCTGTTTTCTAAGGAGAGACATTAAGGCCATCAATTCTGAAGGAATGGGAGGTGAGGAGAAACTAAGAGAAATCGGGGGACGGGGAACCATAGCCAGAAAATATTGTATGAAGAAAAATTGTTTTAGAAAGAAGGAAGATAAAGGAAAGATGGGGTTCCTCAGACAAGAGGAAACAAAGTTGGAAGAAGGATGAGTCACACTTAGAAGACTCTGTTGCAGACTTCTTTCCAGAAAGCATCCAAGGCCCACAATCCTTTATGTTTTTAGTGAGAATTCTTCAGGACCTTGCCCCCTGCTCATGGGTCCTACCTCATCCCACAGAAGTGGGCTCCCTCTAAATGAGTAAATGACCCCTTTTCACTCTTGTATTTTTATCCTGTGGGATAACACAATATGATCTCACAATTCCAGGCCCTTGATCTTAGATGTCCTGACTTCCAAACCTGTGATGAGACCAACTCCCAAGCCCTATAAATCAGCCAGCCTGCCTGTCAGGGACACAAAGCAAGGGGCCACAGCAAATGGGTGGCCACAGTAACTCTACAGTCTTCTTGACCTGATTCTCTACAGTTACTACTAAGAGTTCCTGGCTCTGAATCTAGTATTCCCCCCTTTCATATGCTGCATGAAGTCAGGTGAGTTTCCCTCTCAGAACTTTAGACATGACGTAGGGCTGATTGGATGATTGCCAGTATCAAACGGGAGGTCATAGCCTGAAGTGCTGTGCAAAGCGTGAACTGATAGGCATGTGCACAGCACTGTCGATGTGGAGCTTGGGGTTGGGAATGCAAACGCCTCATTGGATGGAAACATTTCAGTGGCTATTGTCATAGAGACTCTATGAAAACTTTGGGAGGGGGAGTGGGAGGTGTCACACTTGCGAGGGAGACCCCTGTGTTATTGGGAACATTCTTGTTCTTATAAATGGGGTCAGCGATATAGAGCACATTGCCCATTGGAACGGAGAGTCCCCAAAGTAGAACTCATGGGTCTTAGTAGCATGCGCTACAGCTCTTCCTTTACCCCTCATTTCTACAGGGCTGTGGCCTGA